AAGCTGGATTTTTGAACTAGCTTATGGCCTGCACAATCCAGCGGCAATGAGGACCCGATGTCGGTAGACCCCACCCGTCGGTGAGCCAAAAGCGAGGAGGCGCTTGACGGCGGCACAATGGCTTCAGCCGTGGCCCAGCTCTCCGGCATGAAATCAAGGACACCGGCGTGACCTCCGTGCCAAGGGGTTCGATTGGTGCTACTAGCTAGCGCTTCGACCTAAGCGTAAGGAGCTTGCCACGGTGATGGCGGCACAGCAAAACTCCGCCCGAGAGCTGCCGTGACGGCAAGCCACGGTTGACTCCACGAGCTCGGTCGAGCTCCACGGACACGCTGTGAAACTCAAGGAAGCAACTTCTCGAGAATGAAATGGCTCCTAGCTAGCGGCCACAGCGGCCTCGGCTCCGGCGAGGAGAGCTGTCATGGCGATGGCGGCGGATCGACCAAATGCGACGACGATACCTTAGGTTCTCGCTCAAGACAACAAAGGTGTCTGAGCTAGAGAAGCTACTGGCGGAGCTATTGGCGGAGGCGGCTAGCTACTGTGTACCCAATGCGGGCCTTGCGACACCGGCGGAACAAAAGCGGAGCTCTTCGCGGTGCTTTAGGCGGGAGGAGGAGCGAAGAGGAGGCAGAGCGCGTGCGTGCGGAGTGAGTGAGAAGGCGCGCGCGCTCGGTTCAAAGCCGGCCAGCCTGGCGTGGTCGAAGCGATCCGGCGCGTGGCGGACACGCGACGGCCGGTCTCTGTTGTCGGTCGGCCATGACCGGTCTGAAGGTCACGTTTGGCGTTCATCGAGTCCGTGACAGCGAACTTTGACACCGATTAACTCCTAAACCGTCTTGATCCGGGTTAAGGTGTAGTTGACAAAGTTGTAGTATCAAGCGAGATCTTCAACTTTGTCAATTGGAGCTCGATTTGGTTTGGCTTTGTTTGCGAGCTCTGAGCTCTAAACTAGGGTACATGGGCCCAAATTGCACTTAGGACTTAGAATTAATTTCAAGTGTTGAATCCACCTTCAAAGTGACTTGTGTGGGACCTTTTTGGGCATGTTGTGCACATTTTCACGAGTTGGTCACAAAATAACTTTTGTTCCCCATATAATCCTCTACAACTTTGCTTTAGGTTGCTCAGACATGCAAACATCCTAAGCTACACTTTTTAAACAGTCAAACACAGGAGCTCTAGGGGTCCAAATTGGTCAACCATGACTTGGAAACCTAATTAGGCAAAATGATCAACATGGAACCTTGTTCCTAATGACATTCTAGGTGTAACTAAGTTACTTAGGATGATTATTAGCCACACCACACATTGGTCACACAAGAATCAAGCAAGGTATGTACTGAAACAATGAAAAACACATGAAATGTTGCAACTGTTTCATAGTCATGTTTCACTTGTTTCATGATTGTGTTGCATAGCACTAACTAACCTTGTTTCACTAAGTGAGTGGCACATGTTGCACTTAAGCGTTGCACACTTTACATTTCATAAAGAACAACACACATGAAATCTACAACACGTTGCAATGTTTCGAATTTATGTTTCATGTGCTATAAGTTCACAAAGGGATGCATGATGCTCATGTTCATGAAATGCAGTGCAAATGTGGAAGCCAAACACCTGGGGTGTTACAATTGGTCTCCAAATGCATAGCCTTAGCACTGTTCTATACATAATTGTTGCACTTGCACTTAAATAAGCCAGACCATCAAGCAATGCCAAAAATATCATTACGAAACCACTATGAAAAAGATTCTATAAAGACATCAGCATATGCATTTCCTATGCCATATCCTGAAACTATGTTCATATCATCTAAAACAGCTCTCCTGTGCTCTCAAGAGTATAGCCCAGCATGGCAACAGTTTAATGTATAAGGTTGGAAATCTTAAATCTATTTTACTGAAAGGTCAATTTCATTTCTCTCAACAGTATGAAAATATAACAATACTCTTCCGATCCCAAATGTGACATCATACTGCAAAAAAGTAGTGTTGTATGTAAATAACTAAATGAGGAAGCGATGAATCAAATAGAAATATGTCATTTTTTTCATAAAGATTTCTCACAACAAAAAGCTAATGTAGAAGCAACAAAAAGAGAAGTTGCTAACATTTTCAATATATCGAACAACAGAAAGCTAATGTGCAAACATCATAAGGCAAAGGTGCAAGTGCTGCTTGGTAAGTGTTAAGAGAGGATGTATCAAGATCTGTGTCAATTGCAACTATAGCAGAAGTTGGAGATGATCCATCAAAGGCTGAAGACAAGAGTTCATGCTCCTCGGGATTTTATAGATGCTGAATAATGCAAAACGAAAGTAAATTTTGCAGCACAAAAGATTAGATGCAAACACAAAGCTAGTCCTGAGTCAGTTTCAGTCATGTTCTTTTCTTTCTCCTTTTTTGCACATGGAAGTGACCATCACATAAGGTATATTAAAGCAACTGTGATATTATTGACAGAGTCTATATTTCTGATTACCAAGGACTATACGAACAACAGGGAGATTCACATGAGATTCACATTACAGGCAAAATAATTTCTTCAGTTGCATGAAAACTTCTATACAGCCGTTAAACTTTTAGTATTGTGAATTGTGAGACATGGTAGAAATCAGGTTATTGTTGTAGTTAATGGTAAGGGTGCCAAAAATACTTGCTGAGGATTGAGGGAATATTTTGACATGAAAAGTAAGACAAAGCAGGTTATACATATATAGATATACACTGGTGCTCTATCTGACTCAGATGCCCTTGATGAGCAGCAACCCATTGTATCTCCTGAACGAAAAAGCTTACTCCAAACTATCATCTAGCTACTGTTAAAACCCAAAGTTCTGTGTTCATATACCCCTACAAAGAGAAACCCTATGCTGATGCAAGAAGGATAGGAAATCATGTGATAAATAAATGGTGCAGAAAGAGGTTAACATGCAACAATTTCCAAGTAGCCATGGAGACGATTCTAAAATATCCTAGATTAAACTGCGCCTGGTTGACTTTAGCAACAACTTCTATCCAGCCCACTTGAATGTATAGAGGCATGCAGACCGCAATCTCAAACTGATATCGGCCTAATCTATTGTTGAAAAAGCTAAATCATCAAGTTTTCTCAGATATTTTGTGAATCCTATAACATCAAGTTTTATGAGAGGGAGTACATATAAAACTTTTGCACCTTGGTAAAAAATGAAAGAGAGAAATAATTCAGATGAAGCTTGTTTATAGAACAAGAGAAATTGGAGCCGATCAACTAAAAAGTAAAAAGAGTCTGTAAAATCTGTATAGAGAAGTTCGATGCAATCTGTAATTTTAATAATTCAGTTATGCATGAAACCAGCAGAATAAAAGAACACATTTCTACATTAAGGATGTTTGATGAAGTAATTAGACAATTCATACCTGCAGAAAAGGATGTTCTATCCACCCGCAGATCTACAACCCCAGTACAAGCTGTAATTTCTTTATGCATGAAACCAGCAGAATAAAAGAACACATTTCTACATTAAGGATGTTTGATGAAGTAATTAGACAATCCATACATGCAGAAAAGGATGTTCTATCCACCCGCAGATCTACAGCCCCAGTACAAGCTGTAATTTCTACACACATAGAAGAAGCTAGTTAGTACCCATCAATGGTGGTGACTACGAGCAATAGGATTTGAAAACGAGTTGTCTAGGTACCTGAATCGAAGGGATAGAATTGGTCAGTTGGCATGCTTGCTGGAGATCGATAGAGGCCCTGTGACGAAAACGTGGCAGCTGCCCAAGCCGGCATGGCGGCGCCAACTGCCAGCGGCAGGGCGGCAAGGGGCACCCCCTAGGCCCTAGGGGCAGGCCGCAGCCGCCCACCGGCTAGCTACTGGCCTGGCTGCCGCCCGCTGACGTACGGAGGCCAGGAGCGGAGTGACGGAGCGCACAGGAGGGGCCGAGGGGGATCCGCCGCCGCGGCGCATTCGAGTGGAGAGGAGAGCGTCGTCGTAGGCTGCTTGACGCCCTGACCACGAGCGTGACTGGACTCAAGCGACCGAGCGAGCAGCGGCGGCGGGATTTGGCGCAGCTGCCGAAACCCCCAAACCCTAACCAATCTGACGCCGACGCGGAGTTGCGGGTGACAGGGCGGACGAGCTGCGTCGAGTGTCGGCGGAGTGCACCGGCGGTTGTCGGGGAGGGGCCACGAAGGCAGATGGCGTAGCGCAGGTGCCGGGATACGGGTGGAGGTGTCTCGAGCGGCGGCGTATCCCTGGGACTGATGGAAAGGGAAACAAAAGCTAGAAATAGGAAGTGCACGTCGCTAGCGCCCGTAGCGCACGCGCGCTGAATAATAATTTGGTGTCCAAAAGCCTTTCTAAATCATCGTTGGAGTAAAAAGTCATTTTCTATATCTTTGTATCTTACACCAACTTTTCTATATCTTGTGCATACAGTAGAAATTCATCCTCGTTTTTCATCTTTAACGAGCGAGAAATTCATAATAGAGAATGTCTCCAATAGACCGATAGAGAGTATTTTTCACCAAAATCTTGATTCCTATTAATTAGGAAGGATATAAAGTCTCTCGGAGTTGCTCTATAGAGCCATACAAGCTACTATTGTTGTTCACAAAGGGGAAAACATCGTCTATTTCAGAATCGAGTTCAGCTATTTGTTATATGCAGATTTACTCCATGATGAGGCCGAGTTCTGCTATTTGTTATATGCAGATTTACTCCATGCCGAACTGCCTCATCGATCGAGGGCTGCAGATGATGTCAAATGGCTTGTCACTACCGTCACGCAATATTGAAATCTCACCCTCTCGAAGCAGTATCTCACTCTCCTTAAACTGTAAATCTTCATCAAGTGCTCTAATCTTCTGCTTTAACGAAGCAACTTCATTTTGCAAGACACTGACAGTTCTTCTCATCTGCTTAGATTCCTGCCATGAGACATCCCTTTCATCGCTTACTGTTTTGAGCGTGCAGCGAAGGGCAGTCAGTTCCTTTGCAGATTCCTAGTAATCCTGCTCAACCTGGTTAATTATCTCGTCTTTCTTCAAACCCTGCAAATTGCAAAGTTGAAACCAAAGATGACAATGGAGTCATGTGCAGGTGTAATATCATCAGAAACAAGTAAAAAAATATAGCTGGCAACATCTAATGATTCACCTTTAGAAGGATAATGCATCAAGATAGAAACAACAGATTTTAGGAAGTAAGACAAACTAAAATCAACTTGACAAGGGAAAATATGAAGAATAGCTTTTTAGAAATCAGGGTTTTCGGGTCACCTGAACTTCCAAATGCTTGTACTTGTGTGTGAGGCAACGCAGTTCATCTTGAACTCTGTGGATCTCGCTTTGCAGTACCTCTTGGACCCTGACTGAAGCTGCTAGATCTGACTGCAATTGTTCAATGTCTAATTCCTTGGACAGAAGTTTCTCCTTTAGAACCCTACTGATCATAGCTTCTTCTCTCAGCTTAATTTCAATGTCATCCTGCACAAAAGAAAAATACAAAAAATGTGGATTGGTTTAGCTTCTGATGCTGGCTTTTGGCTTGAATTACCTAAGCTACTATATTATTCCAGCAACCTCTATGCTAAGAAAATGTATTTTCATATTCTACAAAACAGATACTACACTAGAATTATTTTACAATGAGTTATAAGAACTTGTCTGTCATGTTATAAAAATGGAACTCATAATACTACTAACAACATTTAAAGAGTTAAGTTATTCCTAAAAATAAGAAACCAAAAGATAGGTCATACCCTGGATAACTTCTCTTGTCCTGAAAGATAACTTTCAGCACTCTGTTCAATCTCTTCGTTTTGCTTCTCAGTCAACAGAGATTTGATCATACGCAGACTCTGTTTTACATTCTCAATTCCTCCTATCATACTTTGGTACTTTAGAGTGTACTTGATGGCTACTAATGCATCAACATCACTGCTGTTCTCACTCTTCTTTGATTTGATCAATTCCAACAACTTGCCACAAAGTTGGCTAGAATCGTCAAGTAATGATAAACCTTGTGTCTGCAAACTCTCCACTCTAGCCTGAAGCTTCTGGTCAAGACGAACTGTGGAAAAATTCGCTCCATCCTCACTCCTTTGTAGACGATTGAAAATCGCTAAATTCTCTTGCCTAAGAGACTCCATCTCAATGGTACAGGATTGAATTTCTTTTCTCAGATTTTGCTCAACTCCAGTAAGTCTGAGAAGTTCCATCTGCATCCTGTTTATTATATCACTATTTCCACCATCTCTCTTTTCTATTTCAGCGCCAAATCCTTTTCTTAGGCTAGTAATTGTGTTCTCCTATTCATTAGACGTCCTTTGTAATCTTGCAATTATTTTGTGTAACACCTTTTTGTCCTCCTCTTTGTCTTTCAAAGATTCTTGGATCATGTCCCTTTCCTCTATAGCTATATTAAGGTTATCTTGCAATTCTACTGAGGAGCTATGAAGATTGTCACGGTCATCTTTTACTCCCTGCAACTCATTGTTCAGATGCTTGTTTTGTAGCTCTAGACTTTTAATCCTACTAGTGGTATCAACTTTGTATGATTCAAGCAAAGTAATTTCTCTCTGAAATGACACATTCTGCTCAGCAAGCTCTCTTACCCTTTCCTGTAGTCTTTGTTCTTCAGATTGAAATCTCTCCAGTTTGACTGAACAATCATTTGACCTTCTATCCAATTCCCTTTCCAAGTTACTTTGTAGATCGATCTTCTCCTTCTCCAGTCTTCTAGTTCTGGTTTCTAATTCTAACTTGGATCTCTTATATTGTTCTTTGGCTGCAAATCTTTCTGTAAGACGTGCCTTAATCTGTGAAGATACTTCAGCTGCCAATTTTTTTCTATCTTCAATCAGACCCTCAATGAATTGCCAGATTTCAGTTGAATTTGACCTCTTATCCCTGAGCGCATTAAGCTTACTGTTTTCTACAAGGGGAACCATAAGGCATGCATCAATTTCTTTAGCTCTTTGAAGCAACTTTTCATCAGTGTCCTGTTCCAAGTTGAAATCATGAACACCATGACACTGATCATGACAATGAATGTCTGCAGTGAAGTATCTTGAGGTAGCACTGGAAATAGGATCCGTTGAAGTGCTGTAGAAGAATGGAGATGGAGGTCGTACATCTTGCAAGTCCTCATAGATGTCATCCACAGTAGTCATACTCTGTGATCTGCACTCTTCAAAATATGAAAGATACTCAGAAGATGCTTCAAGACATCTTGCATCATGTCCACCTTCATGACACACGGATGCAACCTTGAAGGCACCCTTTGTTCCCTCATAAGCAAGATAGGAATGCCAGATGTCATCGGTATCAGTGTTAGAGGGGTTCTCAATGATCTCTTTGCACACTTTTGGTGAAGATGGTGCTGTGGAAGGTGGTTGTGGTGGCCATTCCTGTCCCAAATAAGGAGCTGTACATCTGACGGGGAATTTCTGGTTCTGCTTCTCATTTAGTCTGGCAACTTCTTGCTCACCATCAATATACAGGTCCAGTACCTCATTCTTATTCACGAAATTGGTCAACTTAGCAGGCCTGCATTTTAATGCAACAGGAGAACTAACAGGAGAGTGTCCTGTTGAGCATGAGTGGCATCTTGAATGGGATGAGTCAGTTTCCTGGAATCCATGTGAATTTGAGACCTTTACCATGTATTTTCTTCTACTGTGGTGTCTTCCTGGTGAACATGTGTAGCTCCTGCGGATAACCTTTGTTAGTAATATTTTTAGGCATGATAAAAAGAATATCATCCATGTACTCTGTGTAAACTAATTTCAAAGAACAACCTGAATGTTACTGCAGATTACATGGGTCCAAAGGAGATTTTCTAACAACAATGTCATGGAACACATAAATTAAATTAAAATAACAAGCTGAATGTTCGGGGCGTAACCCTCTTAGCGACGCGCCATGTCGAAACCCGGGTATGGTGTTAAATGAGCAAGGGCCGGGTTGTCACCCCCGTGACGCGCCGTGCCGCGACGGTGTCAAGTGAGCAAGGATCGGGTCGTCGCATCCTTAGTGGCGCGCCACATCGGCGCCCAGGTGTGGTGCAAAATGAGTAAGGGTCTTCACACCTACCTCGGCGGGTGCGAAGGATAAGGAAGCTAGTCGAGCCAACTAGGATCCATTTCGGTAGCTGGAATGTAGGGTCCCTTATAGGTAAGTTAAGAGAGTTAGTGGACACAGTGGTTAGGAGGCGTGTAAATATCTTATACGTCTAAGAGACTAAATGGAAGGGGCAGAAGACAAAGGAGGTGGACAATACCGGTTTCAAGCTCTGGTACACAGGGACAACTTCAAATAAAAATATAGGAGTTTTGATTGATAAGAGCCTCAAGGATGGTGTGGTGGAGGTGAGAAGGCAAGGGGATAGGATCATCTTAGTTAAACTTTTCATTAGTGATATGGTCTTAAACGTAATTAGTGCGTATGCCCCCAAGTAGGCCATAATGAAAGTGCTAAGCGGCTTTTCTGGAAAGATTTAGATCGTTTGGTTAGAGTTGTCCCTAGTAGCGAGAAGCTCTTTATAGGAGGTGATCTTAATGGCCATGTAGGTACATCAAGTGCAGGTTTCGAGGCGGTTCATAGGGGTTTGGGATATGGTAGTAGAAACTAGGAGGGAGAGGAAGTTTTAGACTTTGCCATAGCTTTTGATCTGATGATAGCTAACACTTTCTTCCGTAAGAGACAGTCCCATTTAGTAACCTTTTGTAGAGCCTAGTACTATAATCAAATCGACTTTGTCCTTATAAGAAGGAGGGATAAACGAACATGCGTGGACTGTAAGGTGATACTTGAAGAATGTGTGTTCGCTCAACACAAGCTGGTGGTGGTTGACTTCCGCTTTTTGGTGCAAGCTCGTGGGAACAAACAAGCTAGGGTTGCTAGAACGAAGTGGTGAAAATTAGAAGGTGAGGCATCAAAGGTCTTTAAGGAGAAGATCATTAAAGAGGGCCCTTGGAATGATGAAGGCGATGCAAACAGCATGTGGGAGAAGATGGCAACATGCGTTCGGAAGGTTGCTTCAGAAGTGCTTGGAGTGACCAAAGGGAGCGGATGCGACTCGAAAGACACTTGGTGGTGGAATGAAGATGTGCAAAAGGCTATTAAGGAAAAAAAGGAGTGTTATAAGCGCTTGTATCAAACAACATAGAGAAGTACTAGGTGGCAAAGAAGACGGCAAAACGAGCGGTGAGTGAGGAAAAGGGACGGGCCTATGAGAACCTTTACCGACGTTTGAGTATGAAGGAAGGAGATAATGACATTTATAGGATGGCTAGGGCTCACGATAGGAAGACAAGTGACTTCAACTAAGTCAAGTGCATAAATGATGAGAGGGAGCAGCTCTTGGTGAAGAAGGATGAGATCAGACTTAAGATGGCAAGAGTATTTTGATAAATTGTTCAATGGTGAGAACGAGAATACCACCGTTCAGCTGGACGACTCGTTTGATGACACTAACAGGTGCTTTGTGCGGAGGATTCAAGAATCGGAGGTCAGAGAAGCCTTGAAAATGATGAAAGGGGGCAAAGCGATAGGCCCTGATGGTATCCCAATCAAAGTGTGGAGATGTCTCGAGGATATAGCTATAGTATAGCTAACCAAGATGTTCAACAATATCTTTCGATCGAACAAGATGCCTAAGGAGTGAAAAATAAGCATATTGGTACCAATCTACAAGAACAAGGGAGATATCCAAAGTTGTACTAATTATCGGGGATTTAAGTTGATGAGCCACACTATGAAGTTATGGGAGAGAATCATCGAGCAGTGCCTGCGAGGAACGACGTAGATATCAACAAACCAATTTGGTTTCATGCCCGGAAGATCAACCACAGAAGCAATCTTTTTAATAAGACAGGTTATAGAGCGGTTTAGAGAGTAGAAGAAGGACCTCCACTTGATTTTCATTGACTTAGAGAAGACTTATGACAAGATACCAAGAAATATTATGTGGTGGTCTTTGGACAAACATAAAGTCCCATCAAAGCATGTGACCCTCATCAAGGACATGTACAACAATATTGTGACTAGTGTTCGAACAAACGATGGTAACACAGATTACTTCCCGATTAAAATTGGACTTCATCAAGGGTCAGCTTTAAGCCCGTATCTCTTTGCCTTGGTAATGGATGAGGTTACAAGAAACATACAAGGGGATATCCCTTGGTGTATGTTGTTCGCTGATGATGTAGTGTTAGTGGACGAAAGCCAGACGGGAGTAAATAGGAAACTAGAGTTATGGCGGCAGACCCTTGAGTCTAAAGGTTTTAGATTGAGCAGAACTAAAACCGAATATATAAGATACGATTTTGGCGGAGCTGCACAGGAGGAGGGAGATGTGAGTTTGGAAGGTCAAGTAGTGTCTAAGAAGGATACCTTACGGTATCTGAGATCGATGCTACAAAGGGATGAAGATATTGATGCGAACGTTAGCCATAGAATCAAAGCAAGATGGATCAAGTGGCGACAAGCTTCTAGCATTCTCTGTGACAAGAGGGTACCACAAAAACTAAAAGACAAGTTTTATAGAACGACGATTAGACCGGCTATATTGTATGGAGCAGAATATTGATCTACAAAGATTCGACATGTTCAACAACTGAGTGTTGCAGAAATACATATGTTGCGATGGATTTGTGGTTATACGAGAATGGACCGAGTTCGTAACGATGATATACATGATCGCCTAGAGATAGCATCAATTGAAGAAAAGTTTGTCCAACATCGGTTGAGGTGGTTTGGCTATATCCAAAGATGACCTCCAGAGGCACCAGTGTATTGTGGAGTCCCAAGCCAAGCTAATAATATGAAGAGAGGTAGAGGAAGACCGAAATTGACATGGGGAGAGGCAATAAAAAGATATTTGAAAGCTACCCCAATTTGCTTGGGACTAAAAGGCTATGTTGTTGTAACAAGCTGAATGTTAATGCAGATTATGTCCGCAACAAAGAAAAGAAAATAAGATGTAGAGCTAATTATGAACTAAAAAGTGAATAAATTAAATTCTCATGAAGAGTAAGTCTCTTAGTAACTCACATTAGCAATAACCCCGTTCGGCTGGTTATGTTCCAGCTTGTTCCAGCTTATTCTCTCTCACAGAATACTATTTATTCATCCAAAACCATCTGTTTTTCACTGTAGCGCGGACCAGCTGAACGAGGTGAATATTTGTAGACGTACATAATGAATACGAGTATGCACCAAAAACAATAGTTCTGCTACAATGTGATTCATGCATGTGGCCAAATTCGATGATATCATAGCAAACTATTATGAATGTCCGACTGTAAAATGTAACTCTAGAAAAGTAATCGATGGTGTTTTCTCATCATAATTATAACTCCCTCCGTACTAAAAAAAAATGAAATCGTTTTTGACAGGATTTAACATACCAAGAAGTGATTAAATAGGGTGACTAAGTGACTTCCACCTCCTAAAACTTTAATTGTGAAAGCACTCCCGCATCTAAAACAACTTTTTTTTTTTTTAAGTACGGAGGGAGTATTGTTTTACCAAGGGAGTGACTAAGTGACGTTGCTAGTAGTATTCATGAAGTTCTAACCATTCGAACTGCTAGTGATAGGTAAAATCTGTAGTCTAACCACTTACTCCACTTTGCCGAAATGACCAGGCGCGTCTGAATCATTGAACTTAGAACATGGAATATCAAGTGAGTAACTCATCAACTGTTCATCCAAAGAATGATTCATGGCTGATGATGTCAACGAAAAGGACCTCCTGTGCTGTGGATGGGATGATTCCTCATTCCTTGATGCACCATGCCGGCTTCTAGATCTGAATGACCGTGCACCAGGAGATCGATGAGCGCCACTGGTGCCTGCTTCGTCAACTTTGTTCTCATTCATGGTATCATTTGCCCGTGCTGCTTTGCCATTGTCGGCACTGCTTGTGAACGAGCGGAATGGGAAGAATCTTCTCATATTCTAAGAACAGGATGGCTAACACTCTGCTGCATAGCGAAAATCTCGGGTACAGGAAAACAGCCATCAATCCATCATCATAGACTGAAAAGCAGGGGCGGACGACAATGGATGTACATATGTACACAGTACAGCCGACAATTTTTGCAAAGGGCTCGAAGTTAGCAGGCATCAAATAGCCAAATAGAGTTAGGGTTTGGGTGCTCGGTTTCGCACAGCAGGAAGGGAAGACAAGGGGTGGGAATACCTGGTGGGTGCTCGCCGCCGGAGAAGAGGCCGACGAAGGCCTCGACACCTGGCGTAGGCGGCGGCGGCGGCGGAGACGGTAGCCCACCCAGTCGTCTGCTCGTCGCAGAGAGAGAGAAGAGAAACAGAGTGCACGCGGGACGAAGTTGAACCGTGAACGGAAGCGGGGCATGCGGCGGCAGTCCAGTCCGGCGTTGTTCGGCCCAGGGGAGCTCACCCGTGCTGGGCCCTTTTTCACGTATTTTTTAATTCCTTTTTTCTTCTTTCATTCTTTTTCTCTTTTTTTCACCCCTATTTTTTATACTTTTTCTGTTGAAGCTATAAGCCCTTTTCACTTTAACCTAGGATAATTTTATAAACCTGGAAAATTTTCTCAAAAAACTATAGCACTTTTCTAATGAACTAAAGACAATTTTATCTTTGTTTCAAATGAACATGAAATATTTTTATGTTGAACA